AAGAGAAATTGCTGCGTCACTCATAAAGTATTCACTATCACTTGAATGAACTTTTCATGGAATATCTTAAATAACCAGTCATCACTTCTTAAAGTTTAAGTGTTTAACAAAGTATTCCAAAATTAATTGCCCTTAACTTGGTGTTGAAACTTTTACTAAAGGATAAATATAACTTGTATTTAATAAAAAATAAAATAATACATCTTTGCTGAATATATATTTATAAAATGTTAATATTTAGTTTGATCCGTTACTAAAAGTTTGAAATATAATCAAAATATCTAAAATATAAAGCTTCTATTGCTCAAGTGTTAATAAAAAAGTAAATCTTAATATAATAATAGTCTAAAATATGAATTATAAATTTATATACATAAATTAAAGTCTTTAGTGAACTAAAAAATTAATAAGATGGGTGCAAATATTATGCTATGGAATCTCGAATGGAATTATTTGGGTAAATATTTTACCCTTCATTAAAATTATCTAATGTATACTAAATTTGTTGTATTCAATTAAGTATTTTTCCGTATAAAAATGTTTATTATTTTGTTTAGTATGTAATTGAAATATTTATGAGTTGAACTTTACTAAATGAAATGCTTTGTATTACTATTATAAGAATATATTTTTATTATTTCGATTATTATAAAAATAATAATAAATACTATATGTATGTATACTAATTGTATACCAGATATATTGTATTTTAAGCAATGTTGTGCATTATCTAGATGATTTATCTAGATTAAAACATAAATCTTTTTATCTTTTCTAGATAATAATAACTTAAGTATTTTTTTATCCATCTTTTTAAATAAAATGGCTATCTAAGATAAATTATCTAGATAATTTTGAAAAAGATAATTTTTTTTGTGGGATGTGAAACGAGGAATAATAAACACTTAATTAATATACGGATTTATATGGAATAGTTTTAAAATTATGATATATTTAATCAAACTTGAGTTTCATAAATATAACTTCCTTCGTCTGCACCTGTCGAGCGCTTGTTTAGCAGCGGAAGGCAATTATTAACACCTACTAGTAACCGTTTAGGTGATAAGAAATTTAAAATGTTGTTGTGTTTTGTCCAATAAAATTAATTTGTAAAATATTGTATTATTTATATATATTATATATTTATTTGCATTTAACTGCTTGTAAATCGAAAACAAAGTAATGAGTCATCACTGTTGACCATTTAATTAAATTTAAATATTATAAGATAACAAACTAGAGTTACACACATTTTAAAGTTTTATGTAGATTTCTAACCCATAAATACCTAGGTATATGTTTAAATCATAAAAATCATAAAACTAGCTACATTTTTAATTATACATTTTTTAAATTATAATAAATTAATTTGATCTGTAAACTGATTAATAAAATAAAATAAAAAGAAATAAAAATAGTTTATTTATAATATCTTAAAATATTTATATTTAAATAATTTGGGTAATGAAAAATAAAAATAGATTTATGTACTGTTTTGTGTCTAAATTAGCAAAATTAATTAAGATTATTTTAAACTAATTAAATTATAATTAATAATTAATTTTTTTATTCAAAGAAAAATAACCATTTTACAAATGTAAGTTCTGAATGATGAAATTGTTTAAAATTATTTTTATCTAGTTTTATCTGTGTTTTATTTAGATAAATGTAGTTATCTTCTATCTATTATCCAGATAAATTTTCAAATAGTTATCTATTATTTTATCTAGATGAAATTTTAATGTATTATTCGTTATCTTATTTAGGTAATATTTTGGTTATCTATGTACAATACTGATTTTAAGTACAAAATTATTCCAAACCAGAAAAATGTGCCATTAAATTTGAGACTAAAATAAAAAAAACCTTAATTTGCTCATCAAACGTCTAAATTAATTATAATAAGCGTAATGGATATTATGATTTAGAAGCTTGAGTACCTTTAAAGAAAAACTAACCAGTGAAGGCACTTCATGATTTAAAAATATTATTCAATAACAAAATGTATATTTTATTCTTTTTATTTAATTAAATTTTATTCTTAATTGAAACTATATACATTTTAAAATGTAATTTTTGATTTCACTATCGAGATACGTGCAAAATCTTAATTAATTCTAATGTATAGATGAAATTAATACATTTGTAATTTTTAGTGATTTTATATTATTTCTGTAATTGTTTTTTACATTTTTTTTTCTATATATCTCAAAGAGTATTGATCTCTAACAATGGGTTTTTTTTTTTTTTAATATTTTCTTCATGTTGATTACATATTATGTATTAATAATATATCATTTTAATTGATTCGAGAATAATAAATAGATTCCTAGTTTTATTTTTTTGCTAGACAATAATAAAACCTTTTTTTATTTTATTAATTCATTATAGAACAAAAAAAAAAAGGTTTGATTTAAATTTATATAGTTAATTAAAGTATTAATTGCTATTTTGAAATGAAATAAATAAATATTTACATGATTTTTAAAAAAAATTTTAAATCAGACATTAAATTAAACATCTTTAAAATGTTCTTAATATGTTAATTTAAATACATTTGTAAATATGTATTTAATATTTATAAAAAAATTTCTATAAAAAATTAATCATATTCTCACTGTTATATCTATGAGAAATTAAATTTGACTAATATTTATAAAATTTAAATAGAAAAATGTAGTAGTTCAAATGTATATACATTTATAGGTTACAAAAATGTTTATTAATTTTGTTCATTTTAACTTCAGAAGCATTCTAATTATTTGTAGGTTTTGGGGCCTGGGGAAAATTAATTCGGGGCCCTTCAATCATCACAATAATATATGAATATCATAAAAATACACACCAGGTTTGCAAAATATTTGTGAATATACCTAGTTCAACTTATCAAGGCCATTTAAATGCATCCATACAATAAATTATATTTTTAATAACATCTCAACAATGTATAACCGGTTACCAAATTGAATAAAAAATTATTTTACTTATAGATAACTTATAAACAACCATAGAAAATAAATAATTAGATGTTGTCACATTGATACTTGTGATTATGAATTTTTATGTACATTTGGATAAAACTATGTCATTTTTCACACTCCGGCAGTAACCATAATAAATTAAAGTTATAATTATTTATAAATTAGAATAACTGAAAATGTAGCCTGTATAATGACGCTTAAATATAAATTTAAATTAATTTTATTTAATTCAATTTATTAATATTTCATAAAGTTGTCTTATATATTTGCATGTATCATAATAAATAAGTAATAAATATCCAACATGTTACATAAGACATTTTTAGACTGTCCTATAATATTCACTATTTTGTAATGTCGTAATTTGTGACCAGCATGGGGGTTATTTGCGTGTTAGTAAGATTGATTTACGTAAAAACAGAAAATAATGAAATTTCATTCACAAAGAGAGTTAACATTTTAATTTGCTCAAAAATTAACTACCATTTAAGCCATAAATTATTGGACAATTTAATATCAATAATTACATATTAGTTTAAATTTACAATACAATTAAACAATGACTATTATAACAAGAGTAAAATATTATAATTAACTTTGCTATTTTTGGTAATTATTTTATAATACTATCACGAAGACAGTGACTCTATAATCGATTATTCTACTTTTCTACATATTATATAATTACGTATAGGTATTTCATTAGATTTATCCCTCATGGTATCATACTTAAAATATGTACCTAATAATATATGCTAACGGTAAGTGCTTGGATAAGTCCACAATATTTGTTAGGTAGATTATGTTTTACCGGATTAAGATATTTGTGTGAGGATACTCGTATGTTTGTTTTGCCAAAAAAATATGTGAGATCGACGGATTGGATGGCGATTTACACTAACATTGAAGTCGTGTAAACATACTGTCATTATATTTTCTTCGACCTCTTTTTCCATTTTTTCTTTCAGAATATGTTATTGCATGTTTAAGATGTCTTAGATTTGATATTCGTTTTCATTTTCACCAACTTTATACATATGCCTTTTATTCGTTTATCAATAAAATATATAAATACACAATGTTTCCTTGATGTTGTTATAATCTATATTAATTATACTATAATTTCATTAATGAACATTAAACCTTAAGTTTCATAAAATATGATAAAATTATACTTCAATCTAATAAGCTATATAAATTGAATATTTTTTTTCAAATTGAAAATATAGTTTTAATTACACAACTAATTTTTTTATTTTTATTAAAATATAGCTTTTAAATAACCTTACCTAATCAATATTTAAATTTATAATAAGTTATTGCAATTAATGAGTAAATTTAATTTCATGAGAAATACAAGTACACTTCAGTTTTTTTTAAATTTTATTTATCCCTATACACTATGCACATATATATTTTTATTTTAAGTTACAGAACATTAGTATTATACTAAATAATTATACTAACTATCATAGATACTAACTTAAGTGATAAATGTGTTCGTACTACAAGGATGGTTTTTCTTTATTAAATATAACTTATTTTTTCTAAGTAGTTTCATTGAAATTGAATAATATTTTTAAATTTAAGATAGGGCATATTTGATTATTTTTTCAAATATTGACAATTTATCATTGACAAAATAGTTACAAACATATTAACTTTATATTTATTTTATATTTATAATTACATCATATTAATTAATTAAAAATAAAATATTTTCAATATTAGTTCCAAAATAATTTATGGTCTTGTATTTACTAAGTAAGGCAATCTCAATTTATTAATATCTAAGTTCGGTGATTTAAAAATTGTACTCTATGTTTGTTTAATTTAACTAACGAGTTTTTTAAACAATAGAAAGCTTTTAAGACTAATTTATTTGTGTTTAATTTACTTACAATTTTAAATAGACATTAAACTTAATTTTATAAATTTGCTAGTAAAAGTGTATTTTTAAAAATGTTAAATAATCAATACTGTAATACCTGTTTAATATTATGTTTTAATGTCTTTTAGGATCCCAGAAATATGAACGATTTTAAACATTCTTCGCAGTTGCAGTGGGTTAAAAAATGACCAAACATACAGGTAAGGCGTACAATTAGTTTCATCTTAGGTTTTTCAATTCATTTTTGTATTTTAATAAGTTATAATAAGTAATTATATAAGTTCTAAAAACTCTTTTATTAAATAAATCAACTTAATTAGTGTCTTAGTATTTAAATTATCAATATGAAATTGTGATTCTTGAAATATTCGTGTTTTACAAAATCGTATAACATGCAATGTAACATAGAATTTACATATAATTAATAACCATAGATTATAATAGAATCATAATCACTGATTATGATTATCCGTTATATTCTATTTCTTAAAAAAAAACTAAAACAATTTAACAATAAAATATTTGTGCTACTATTAATGTTTTCCTACCGAAAAATTGAAACAAATTTTACTTCAAGTGGAACTTGACAGTTATTAACTGTGAGATCATTAGTGGAAAAAGACTAAAAAGTAATGTTTACAAAGTGTCAATAAATCCATTTGAAATAAATATGTATTATCTTCTACCTTTCCGTATATATTTAGAAATGCATTTCTCGTACCTTTTTAGGTCATATATAATACATATCAGAATCAAATGATAGTTATTTGTACTTTTGCTCTAAAAAGATATTCATCGTTAAATAGCTATTATTATTTTTCTCTAAATTTATAAATATAAATACACACAAACATTTTGAACACGTTATTTATCGGATTAAAAATGTCAGTCATTGTATAGTTATACAATTTAAACGTATTTAAGGGAGAAAAAAATCAAAACAAAAACTTCTTGATGGATGTTACAATCCTGGTGAGCTAACTAAAGGTTACTTCATTAAATTATTAATGGATTTCACCAAACCCCACTTTTAACCATGTCAAGTGACGTATTCGAAAACTTTCAATACCCTTTTTCTACACCTTAAACACTACCGTAGACACCCGTGATTGCATTATTAACCCAATTACTAACACCGTTATTCTCGTCCTTTAGAAATAAAAAGTATAGCTTATTTTTTATTCTCCCAAAAAATTACACACATTTAAATATGGAAATTTACATATTTTAATAAGTTTTCAAGTGTAATCCATACATTTATTTTACTATACATCTTATTATGACCAATACATATAACACGAAATTATATGTTTTCATTACCATTGTTTAACATTAAATACTGTTGTTTATTTTTACATTTTACTTTTATTGGACGGCTACTTTATTTATGCCACCAAGTTTGGTAAATATGATATCCATTTTATTAATTGTATCACTGTATACGAATTAATTGAAAAATATATAAAGTATCCATTTTTCTAAAAAAAAATTAAAGTTTACAATACGTTAAATATTATATCCCATTAGTCTATTTTTCCAAGTTCAATATTATAGAAAAATCAGTGTTTTTTATAAATTAAGTACCTATATTTAATAAACTTACTAATTCTTACTAATTTACCAAGAAGTATTGAATGTTGACGAAAACGCATTTATCTCATAATTATTTTATACGAATATTATAAATATACACTTTATTTATAAAAAAATATATACGTATAAACTAATAACTATTTGTTGGCATGTAAGTTCACAAAACTTATAATACAATTATGTGTTTCATGTATTTGAGCTCTTTTTTTCAATTTGACAAAAATAATTCTATATGAGTTGAAAATACTTTATGTGTAATTCTCATAGTCCTGAATGAATAGGATTTGGTATCTATTGCACAATATTTTTATTTTAATAAGTATGATGACAGATTTCTATACTTTTATGCGAAAAAATAAAAGTGATACTTATATTATTTGATTTTATGACATTTTTAAGATTAAACTGAGTCAAAATTAAATTAAAATTGTTTAATTATTATTTAAACATATTTTAAAATCCTTTAAAGTTAATTTCTAGCTATGATGAATATTTCTGTTAGTCATATATTTTGCATAATATATAGAAATATGATATGGGTTCCTGTTATACAATTTTATTTATTTTTGAAATTTTACGTTTACTAATTTTGAAACTTTTAGAACAGTATTTATGATAATATTATTTAATTATAATATATTCTCACTAAATTTTGTCTTTAAATGTAATATCCATACTTATACAGTTATTTTGAGAGTTGTTCGCTTTTAATTTATTGAAATACATTTTAAATTATTTTTTTAATAAATGAACGAACATCTTAAATATAAGATATGTAAATTTTATTATCTTAATTAAATACACTTACAAAAATATATTATAATACTAGCTTACCCGACAAATGTTGTTTTGTCATATAAATTATTTCTAAAGAATATTTTGTTAGAAAAAAATAACCAATTTAATATAAGTGTGTAAGGATGTAGTATATAAGTGGAAGAGGTATGGAGTGCTGTGAACGATGACGGAATATAAAAATGAAAAATCATCAAACATTTTTTTTTTTTAATAATTTATTAAAATTGAGCCTTTAAAATTATATATATCGCTAATTATGACAATAGTATTAAGAGACAATATCAATCCCTTAATGCAACAGAGTGTACAATATTTTTTGTTGTCCCATTTTTCGCCAACACAAACAAACTGGATGGTTCGAGAGCTCGCCACGTATAATTGACCATGTGGAAAACATGATTTGCTCAAATCTAAGCCACAGACAGACATCGTTTGGTCTTGAGCCATTTCAAATGACAATCTAATTGGAAATTGAAGGCTTTTAAATTGTATTGGCACATCTGTGGGTATAATAGGGATTCACAGTAATAATATATTTTCACCTCGGAATTTGCCATTTAAAATGATGGCTTCGATAATATTTTTCATTAATTTTTTAAAGATTAATCGCGTGCTGTTTCACAATCGTGGTGGGTTCAAATTACGAAGCAAAATAACCGGAGATCCAACCTTCAGTTGTAAATTATGTGGTGACATGCCTGGTAAATCCAATAAGTTTAAAAACTCTGTTGGATAATTTACAGCTTCAGTAGCATCGCTAACTGTATCAATAGATTGTATGACACCAAGTCTCCTGGCAACAAACGGTGTATCTTGAGATTCTATTCGTTCGTTGACGTCCACATTTTTTGCTGCTAAAATTGCTCTTTCTGCCAGCCACTCATTATTAGTGTTTTTTCTGTTTACTTTGGGAAATATCTAGTCAATGAGAACATCTTGCGAATAAATTATTGTGCAGAAATCGGTCGGTAATTTTATACATCCCGTTTCTTCCGTAGTAACTTTCCCATCTCCAATATCTAACAATTATTTTGAGAATCTTCCGCACGCAACTTTTTTTTAATTGAATCGCAAGTATCAAAATCGTTCGTTCTCTATCTTTACATACATTTCGACAATGAATTTTTGACATAACTCACGATATCATAGAATAACGTTGTCCTGATCGTATCTAACCGATATGCATAATAATTCTTCGAACTAACATTCTTATTTGTTTTGGCACCTGTTGCGGGATTTTGTTGATTAATATTTATGCAAGCAATACCGTTAATGTAATACCAAAAATAAAATGAATAGTTTTTAAATAGTTTTTAATAGTTTTTTATTAGTTTTGTAATAGTATCATTTAATAATTCATTTTCAATTGCGCAGTTATCGACCGGGTCAAAAATTATTAAATTAAACTACGATTTATTAAACAATAGTACTTAGGAGTATAAAAAATAGACGAGAACCTATTTGCAGATCTACCAAATGTATATACAAAATTTCATTATAATCGGTTAAGCCGTTTCGGAGGAGTATGGTCATAAACACTGTGACACGAGATTTTTATATATATATAGATTAACTTCAAAAATTTATTATTATAATTTTATCTTATTACTTGTATCAGAAATATTAAGTTAATTCTTATAAATCATAGATATATGGATATTTAGTTGCTATGGCAACAATCAGAAATTATTATTTTGTATACATACCAATTAAATTTCTATAATTAAAATTATAATACCTTTATACTTTTGGATAAATTGATACTCGTATTCAGATACCAGAGAATAACGGTATTGTATTTACCCTCAGGAGTAGTATAATCTTTAGGTACGCAACGCTTTTACAATTAATAAAGTTTGTTTAGGAACTCAGTTTAATCAGGTTAAAAGTAGTTTTGTATTAACATTTTCATTTTCAACATAAGTTGTAATACAAAGTTGTATCTAGTATAATTAGTTGTTGAAAATAAAATAGTTATATTAATATTAATTTCAAATGTAGTACAAAACCCTGTAAAATACACTGAGATAAACTGCAGTGTGTCAAGAATATGGCGTTATGCCTTGTTAATTTTTATTATACATAAAATTGACTTATATTAAAGAAATTAAAATATCTCACTCTTTTCGTATAATTATTCGCATAATATAAAAGTATATATATATATTTCACTAAAACTAAATATACTAAATATACTAACTAAAACAAAATAAAAGCTAATCACGGATTATTCTTTTTGTAATTTGTTGGAAAATGTTCAATAACGAGATTATATATATTGCAATTAAACAATCAAGCCGGTATCGTGATGAAAAATTATCAGGTGATTATTTACATGCATGTCGTATTGTAATATTAATCAATTTAACTTAAGTTCACTTGCCTGGGCCAGGACAGAGAAGCTAGACGAATGGCCAATATTTTTATAAAAAATCTAAATAAAAATCTAGTCTATTTATTTAATTTTACTTTTTTTTTATATATATAAGCTAGCATTACATCCACCACGTAGAAACGCCGGTTAGGTAATACATCATGCGTATTTCAATCTACCTGTGGATGAAAAAGAAGCCTGGGTTTGAGTTATATCCCCTCCCTTAATCAGAAAATAACATACAATCGGGGCGTTTATGCATACACATCTGTGACTTAGTATTGACAGTTTCGAGTTAGTGTCGGTTGGACACGTATTATGACCACCGCGTTATTCAGACTCGCGCGTATCTTAAATACTATATTGCCACATCGCATTGTACTCAGTGGTTAAAGTGGGAAAAATTTTGTGGGGGGACGGTATTCATCAAAAATT